TATATTAAATTATGAAATCAGTGAGAAAATATTTAAACAACATACCAGAACAATGAACAAAGAAAGTTAAAGTAATTCATAGGAGAAGAAATAACAGCGAAAATCATATGAAAAAAATCAAACATTTTGGTGATAAGGAAATGGATTTGAAAACAATACAATTCAAAATTTTGCTATTGAGTTTACTTTTTTCTTTTAAAGCAATGATTAATGAATATGACAGTGTGGGAGAACATACATAGTTGATGGAAAAGTAAGTTGAAGGACAAAGTACCTTCTAATACCAACATTTGAAATACGCAAACACTTTGAGTCAAAAATTCCACTTGCAGGATTTACTTCTATAGAAATTCTCCCACTTTGCTCTTTATTATTGTATCATTCTTAGGAAAGAAAGAAAATGAAATCATCTTATATTTTATTTATATGGGAATAGGTTAATAAAGAGAGGTATATTTACAGTTTGGAGTAGCTGGCTGCTATAAAAACAAGATGCACTGATGTGCAAGTTATGCCATTATGTTCGTGAAGTAGAGAAAAAAGCTAATTGCAGAGCAATATACATAGGTTTAATTTTGTAAAAATAAATGTAATATTGTGTATTTTTCCTATACACGCAAATGTGCACTCATATATACATGTACCTACATATAAATACTTGAATGTGCAAATTCTGAATTGTACACATCAGTGTACTCAGATTATAACTAGTATATAAGAGCTTGGAGGGATCAGTATGAAAAATTTACTTTCACTTTAGACACTTCTGTATTATTGAATGTTTTCAAAGAGCAGTTATGTCTTTTAAGGTTACTTATTTTAAATTGTAGGCCAGTGAGACTGGAAGCCTGACACCCTTCACATCCTTCCCCAATAAGGTTAGATTCTCCAGCTGTTATTATGCCATTGAACACTCTATCCATGACTGCTTTCTATGTCAGTCATCAGGTGCAACATACCAGATACACAATGACCACAAAAATACCCTTAAGGCTTAATTCAATGTAAAATGATTTAACAAGTTGGACAATGAAATGAATCAAAGAAGAATGAATAAATAAATGACTTAACAGGAGGAAAAAGATGAATGAAGGAATAAACAGAATAAGGGAACAGTAGAGGAAATAAAGAAAAATGAGTATAACATATCAGAAAATTACAGTCTTCTGCAAAAAATTTAAAAAATAGAGAAGTTAAATATCACAATTTAACTGGATAGAAGTAATAATTGTTAGACCTTGATGGAAATTATTTGCTATTTTTGGTCTATTTTGTAAACAATATGATCATGTACATTATTAAACACAACAAATTAACTTTGCTATAAAATTGCTTAAATTGTAATGACATATTTCATTCATTGGATTTCTTCAAAATATTAGAATTTTCTTATAATTACATAGATGTATCATGAGTAGAAAATTTCCTATTTTGCTAAAAGAATTGATCAGATTTTCATAGCATATTTAGATTAGTCATTTAATATCAAAACCTATTTTTTAAAATTATGTACTTTCCTTGGTTATTTGTGTATTGCTTTTCAATTAATAGCTTTCAGTTAGCAAAAAAGGAAAGTACTTGATGAGCATTTATTCTCTCTGAAGGTAATCATTGTTCAAAAGATGTGAAATGCTTGGTCCAGAACCCAAGGTACTTAGAATGCATTAGACACATCTGTGATGACATTGGAAAGCTGGTTTGTTACCTACCACATTATTTTTCCAAGCAGTAGGCACATTCATAAGCACATAATCCTGAAACTTTCTTAAAATTTATATTGAAGAGAGGAAAATGAAATGCTGGCTTTAGTAATGGTGATCATTTCTTTTTAAATATTTAGTAGGTATAAATAGCTATTCAGTTATTAGCTACTGTAAAATGGTTATTTAATAGGTATAAATAGCTAATTTATGCTGCGGTCAAATTTTTTAAGCTGTGCAAAGCTTATCTTTTTTACTTCAGGTGGAATTGTTCAACCTTTCTGAATAATAAGCCATTTCTAGGTTAAAGTAAGAAACAACTGGAACATTTTGTGTGGTTTTCAGTTTTCTTTTGGAGAACTATGCTAGTGGTACTAGGTTCCCCTTTTGAGAAGCTGGGATAATAGGTAATTTGTCCTTGAAATATATTATTAATACCAT